GGGCGGACGAGCCTTGGCACCAGCCAGTGAGGAGCCAGAAAGGCCTGTAATCTCCTTGTCAGCCTGTCAGTGCCTCAGCGGTCACCCCAGCCCCACCTCTCCCATCCAGCAGAACCCTACAATTAACTCAGGGCACTTTGCCAAGCCTGGGTGCCAGCCACCACTCACGTGACCACACATGTGCAGGCACACATGTCTGTAACTAGGACAAGGAGCCCCACCAGCAGCGGACTTGTCCCAGAATCCGTCCTCAGGACACAAAGCCTGAGGAAGACCCTTAGACCCAGGCACTTGGGCGGGTGGGTCAGTGCTAGGTCAGCCCAGGTTGCCCAGAGGAGCACAGAAGCAGGCAGGGCCAGGCCAGCCCAGAGCTGGACCCAAGGGGTGAAGGGCAGAGGTGGGTAGGCTTGGCTGGAGAGGGAATGGGATGCCCCTTTGTCGCCTGTCCAAGCTGAGCCAAGAGTCTTGTGGGCAGACAGTACTACCCTAGTAGGTGCTATGCAAGTCTGGAGGACAGAGGGGCTGAGTTTTCCCAATGAGCAAATGCTTAGCTCAGAGTGGGGGCATGGGGGCAGGCAGGTGCCTGGTCTCTCCATGATGAACTCAAGATGGAGCCTAGCCCCTCCTTCCTGCTCAGCTGGAAGCTGCCTGCCCAGTTCATCAGGGAGCTTGGACAAGCAGGACCTGGCTGGGTTCACTAGACATCTAGGCCCTGGAGGAGGAGGGGGCTGCACCAAGGTGCACAGTCTAGCAGGGAGCTGCCGGGGTCTCCTGAGTCCCCTTAGTGCAGTCCTTTAAATCAGTCTTGATGCCAAGGTGGAAGTAGAGAGGGAAGGCCCCTCTGCCCCACACCCCTAATCTGGGCACATCAGAGGCCAGGATGGAGCCCCTCCCTCCCTCTCATCCACCCCTCAACTTGCCCAGCTCAACTCAAAACAGCTTCTCCACTAGCTGCACTGGAAAGGATGGCCGCAGGCTCAGGTAGGTGAGCTGGGGCAGACAGTGGGCCCAAGCAGGGTTCCTCTTCTCTTCTGTCCAAGGCAGCTGCCATGTTCTAGGCAGAGGGCATAGATCTGGGTTCAGCACGTTCCTCACCCTCACATTCCTCCATGGAATGAAAACATGGGGGTAGGATGGGTGACAGCCCTTGATGCTCACAGGTCCTTGAACCTCTGTCCTAGTCCCATGCAAGGGTCAAGTTATCTCCATGCCCCATTGTGCCACGATGCGACTCCCCACAACAGAGCCACACTTGTGCTAGGCTGGCCTCATACCTCAGCACTGGCCAGGGTTCAAAGGTCCCAGGTAGGCATGAGCCAATCACAGTACAGCCTCTACCACCCTATGGCCTTACAGGTCCCCTAGAATCTGCCTCAGCCTTTAACACCCATCATAGGGTCCAAGAGGTCCCACACAGTCACCAGCCCCAGTCAAGTGGCACACTGGCCCAGGGCTGAAGACCAGAAGGCTGCCTGGGAAGAGACTTCACCTTGCACAGGTCCAGGTGGCCAGAGTCATTCTGGCTGAGGGAACAGAGGCCCCTGGGCACTGTGTTGACACAGGTGGCCTCCTGGAGGATCAGAGTTTTTCCTCTTCCTCTTGCTGAGGGCAACCTCTGCCCAGGTAATGTCCCTGCACCCAGACAGGAAGCGTCCAAGCTGGGCTTGGGCAGGGTGGGGGCAGAGCTGAGCTGGTACCTCTGGGCCTCCCTCCTGGACTTCAGGCCCTGTGCCAGGACTCAGCTGGTACCAGAATGGGGAAATGCTGTTTTCAGAAGCCCAGAGAGTCCTCAGAGGGCTGAGGAAAAGAGGATGTGGGCACTAAGGCTGGCCCTGTGCCACCCCCTCCACTCCCACGCACTGATTCCAGATCAAGTTGAGAACCCAGCCCCCAGGACCCCCAGACAGCTCAGACAATCCCCAGGACACCCCAGAGAAGGGCACCATCCTCCTAGGAAGAGGTAGAGGTGGGGCAGGCTCAGGGCTGTGTGTGTGTGTGTGTGTGTGTGTGTGTGTGTGTGCGCGCGCGTGCGCGCGCACACGCATGTGTGACAAGGAGAGGAACCGACCCTCCCCAGTTCCAGATGTGGGCCAGGAACACTCACTGAGCTGTAGACAGACCTGTAGGAACCCCTAAAGCGCTTGCCTTACCATACCTGGCTTCTCTGGGGCCAGAATCCAGTCACTGACACACACAGCAAAGTAACAGATCTCACAAGGGAGGGCACAGAGGCCCAACCCAACCCTGCAAATGCTAGGCAGGGAAAACAGGGAAGGGCCCAGGGCAGGCAAACAGGCGAGGAGGATGGGGTCCCCATACCCCTGTGGTGGGAAGCAGCTGCCCATGCCAGGGGAAGTGGAACTAAGGAGGGGAAGAGAACAGAGGAACCAACCACACTTGGTCTGGGAAGATGAGAAAAGCTCAAAGGTCTGCTGCCCCTGCCCTCCAGAAACCCAGTGCCCCCACTCAATTAAGGGCACAGACTTACCCTTCCCATCCTATAATTAGTCAGAGACCCAGCCCCACCCCACCCTCAGCCCCACCCTTAACATAAATAGCCATTACCCCCAGGGAGGGACCGCCTGCCCCCACCCCTATCTAACCACCTACAAACTCAAATCCACTTCCTCGGAAGGGAAATCCAGGCTGGGTGGGGTGGGGTGGCCTCAGCCCCCTCCACAGGCTGCCCACTGGCCTCCAGGGCCTGGCTGGGGTTTGAGTGAATTCTGATCAGCCCACCTCCTTCTTCCTGGACCTCAGCAAGACAGACTCTGGGCACAAGAAGCCCAGAAGGAAGAAAAGCTTATGCCCTGCACCCTCAAGACAAGGCAGGAGGCCTAATGCGGAAGGAGGGACTGGGGAAAAACCTAAGTGAGCCCTGCCCACAGGCACAAGGGCAGCCTTGAGTTTCACCCGGCCAAGGAGGGTGCCAGATGCCCCTTCCACCAGTGCCCCCTGCCTCTGCCCAGTGTTACAGAGGGACCACCGGTGTCAGCCCCCAAGATGTGGGTACCAGGCAGGGGACGGAACGGGGTGACGTTCCCAGAATGGCTTGGGGGTGCCATATGGACCCCTCCCCAGGCTGCCAGCTCACTCTAACGCCTTCCAATCCAATCTCTTCCACTCCACTTGCCTGGGCTGGGGCCAAGCCCCTGGGCTCCCTGCACTTGGCCTCAGCTGAGGCTGACTCCCTAGCGCAGTCTCCACACTGGCAGCTGGGCACATGGCCTCGCAGGGAGCTGGGCAGCCACCAAGCCCCAGCAGCACTCCAGATGGCACCTCCCAGGGACCTTCTCTGGCTTGTCTCCCCACTGGGGTTAAGGGATGCTTGGGCAAGTCCTGGGCTGTCCCTCAGTGGGTGGCTGGTCAGGGAGCCATTAGAGAGCAAGAGGAGGGCCTGAAGTTCAACTCCAAAGACACCAGAGATGAACCTGATCGGCTGACCCACGCACGCCCCTACCTGGGCGAGTGACCTGTCCCAGATGGGTGTCCCTGATCCTGGATCCAAGGGTGACCACAAGGAGTCTCCAGGCCGGGACCAGAGGACCTGTGCCCCATGGCTTTTCTCAGAGACTCCTGGGCCAGGCAGAGCCTAGCGGGCAGCGGCCTTGAGGCCCTCCCCAACCGAATGGTGACACATCTCCCGCCCCCTCTGCTGCCAACAGGTCTGAGCAGCAGGGGAGGTGTGGAGCTGCCTGGACTTGTTTGTCCCTCCCTTCTGGGACTCTCAACCCACGGCCCGGAAGTGGATCCCTCTCCCACGGCTGTGGCCGCCCCTCTCCTCTCGGGTGGCTGGACACGGCTGGATAATCCAAAATAATTCCTTCTTGGCAGGCAGCCGGCAAGGGGGGGGGCTTGCATTCCAAATCCTTGTTTTTCTCAGTAACTTCCCACTGCTCCTGGGGAAGGAACCCCTGGCCACATCTCACGCCTCCCTCAGGGCGGCTTGACAAGGGTGGGGGTCTGGGACGTGCCCAGCCCACTGCTTGCTCTCCTTCTCTGGCGATGTATGTGCAATACACTAGTAGCCGGCACTCCACAGAAAACACTCCAACGCGGACCGTACGTTCTTAGGGGCCCTGCCTGGGACCAGGACCAGGGCAGCATTTGGGCATGGGGGCTGGCTGAACACCCCAGCTTCGGGCAGCCCTGATGCCCACTCAGGGTGTGTGTGGGGGCTTAGTTTTAAAGCCCTCAGCTTGGAGGCTGAAGTTAGAAATTAAAGGGTCTTTTAGCATAGGCGCGGGCCCAAGGAGCCCCAGCAGTACATAAGTTTCCAGGCTTTGGGGCCTGGCTTCACCCCCAGCCTTGACTCCACACCGCCATGGTGACCACAGATAGACCCTGTTCTTCCCTTTCTAAGAGGCTGGGAAGAGGAGTTCAGTGACGTGGCAGAGAGCTCCAGGGCTCTTAAACTCAGAGGCCGCCCCAGTGGGAGACAGGACCCCCCTCTCAATCAGTCCAACAGCTTGACCACAGAAGAGGCTAAGGGCCTCATTGTGAGAGCTCAGCAAAGCTGCGGGGAGGACCAGCAGGTGGGCAGCGTGATCGCCCCAAGTCTAAGACTCGCCAGGTTCGAGGCATCCACACACACACCTAGAGTCGCGACTACACCTGCGGGAGCTGGGCTGTCCACAGGCGAGGTGCAGGTCCTCTGTGCCCCGGTTCCCTACACCCGGTACTGGGACTGCGAGGCCGGCGAGGCCCTGGGGAAAGTCC